CTTTTCATTTATTTTTTATTATTTATTATTAATTTTTTTAACTATATTTTTTTTATTTAAATTTTTGTTTATTTTTTAATTATTTTTTTATTTATTTATACTTATTTTTATTTGTTTTTATTTATTTTTATTGATTTTCTTTTACATGTATCTTTTTATTTAAATATTTGTTTATTTTCATTATTTTTTTAATATTTTTATTTAGTTCTTTTTTATTTGTTTTTATTTTTATTTATTTAATGAAACTTCAAGTGGGGACCAAACTGTTGCAATGTCGTTTTTATTAGTTCACTCCTCATATTTTTCATGTCAGTCAAGCTAATAAGTTTACTTCAAAATTTACCATATAAATTCGTATAATTAATTTCTAAATTAAAATTGTCATAACTTAAAAAAACAAAAAAAAAAATTTTTCTAAAAGATATTTATAATTTTCTGAGTAAATAATAAAAAGAAACTACAAAATCATTGAATTTTCAACTCGCTATGACATAAAAATCTCCTCTTAATTTATAACCACCGTAACTCTGTCAGTTTTAATAAAAGCAAAAAATGTAAAATATCATTTTTATGTAAAACTTTATACTTTACAATTTTTATTAAACACTTTTTTATATAGCACCTACCGTTTTAAATAACCTCAAAAAAACACTTTATTTTCTTGTTTTTTGACATTTGCCGGTGCCTGAAAAACAAAAATTTTTACATATCGTTTTCAAATACTCTAAAGTGACATATCAAAAATTCCTGTATTTCCTCCAAAATTTTGATTCAAAGGTCTATTTAATTGGACTATAAAATATATTCGTTCAGTTGAAGCCAATGATAAACTTTTTCGTTTTGTAATCTGTGCGTAGATAAGCTAATATCTATGTGGGTGTAGAAAAAATTTATTGCAATATGGTAATTCGTCTTAAAATGTCACCAAGCCGAAATCTGGTCATTTACTTAACTAGTTTTTTTTTGTTTAAATTTTGAGTTTTCTAATAATTTCTTAAGTGATTGCTTAATATATTTTTTTACAAATATCACAAAATTAAAGTGTAAAAATTCCTCAAATTATAGAAAATTTCCCTTTTTCCTTACTGATTGCAGATTTTCCCTAGAATTAGGGAAATTTTCCTATTAATGGCAACACTGCGAAAAACTACTAAACTACTGTTTAGGCATTTCTTTATAAGCTTACCACAACATACTAGAACATATATGTTCTCTAGTATACTTATGTAACCGGAGCAGTTCTTTATAAGGTTTGGTTACTCTGCTTTGGTTATATATATTACCACAGCTTATGTAGTTACATCTAACGAGGCATTTATTTATAAGCTTACAAAAAAATACTATAATAAAAAATAACATAAAATATCCTAAAATTTCTAAAATTCAGTTTAGAAATCCCCAAACTTAAATTAAATATGTCACAACACTTATTACTGTAACCAAGTATGATGTAGTAAGCTTATAAAGAAATGCCTTTTGTGTTATTCACGTAGTTGTCAAATCAAATTATTACGGGAAAGTCTTGTTACAAGAATTGTTTATGATTATATTTCAGAATATTGACTATAAAGCTACAAAACGCACAAAAGGCTTTCAAAATGACTTTAAGGAAGTATTTTTGCATTCTTAATGCCAATTATTATCTATTTAATAAATTTTTCTGGTTGCAACTGAATGTGATTTACAAGAAAGTACACCATTTATAGTGTGGCAACGGTGTAAAGTAGGAATCGGTAGTATGATCTGGTTCATTCATAAAACACGTGCTCGCGCCTCATATAAACAAGGTCACACAAACCATCCATACTCAACGTAGCAACCGATGCGACTGCTGTCTGCCTAACAAAACACAATCTGAATACTTGCAAAAAATAAGGGCAATTTTGAATGAATGAATTAGTCTAGTAGTTTTTCGTCGTTGATCAAGCCCAGCCATACTCAACCTGCGGCCCGAAATACTACTAAGAAGGTTCTTTTCAAAACTATAAGTTTCTATATTTAAAATCTTCAGCGGAATGCGCAAAAACATTAATCGGACACTGCGCAAAAACATTAATCGGACACTGCGCTAAATATCACGCTAATTTTTAAATAAACATTTGGAATCCGACGGGTTACTGCAAAAACAAAGATAACTCACATTTTTAGAGTTTCGAGAAAACGCCGTTGAAAAGTTTAAAATTTACCAAAAAATCAGAAAAAGCTTCAAACTGTTTAATAAACAATAACTCCAATGAAAAAAAGGTATTCAAAACATAATTAGTCTTCAGAAAGTATAAGCTATATAAGAATCCATTGATTGATAAAAAAAGTCACTTAGCTTATTTTAGCTGTCTACGTACAGGTCATAATATTCCATGTATGTGTCACTATCTTCAATGGAAGATTTAGGTACTGTGTCTTCAAGTTTATTGGATTCACGTCGATTGTGATAATAACTGTGAAATTCATCACGTGTAGCACCTGATTTGCAAAGTTTTAATAAATCTTTCTTCTTGCACTTTTTGTGAGTATTTTCAAAGCTGTTTTTTTTTCACCCTTTCAGGCATCCTTTTATTGGTTTTTGAAGATTAGTTGTATCGCGGAAAGAAAGGGTGACGTAATCACCTTGTCGTTTTCGGAACAATCGAGAAAGGCCAGAGACGGCTTTAGACAAAACAAATAGCTTGGGCAAAATGTTGAAGTATTTCAACAAATGCTTTCAATAAAAATAAGTGTTCTGAACTTAATCTTGTTTTGGCAGAAATATATACTATTAGGAATCACTCTAAATATATTTAACAAAATAAGGTAGTCTCTTATCTGGACACACTATTAGCAATTGAACACAATGTTATGATCATACGTTTCCTTATAAATGTCACTCATCTTGTTTGTGCATATTTTGAATGTATTAATATGGAGTTAGTTTTTATCGGTCATGTTTATCATAGATATAGACTTCGTTCCACTTGTCTTGTTTATACCGTATATTATTTGAACTATTTTGTAGACGAAAGTGTACTTAACTCGAAAATGCCAAAAGTGGAATTATCTTATTTTTGCAGTATCCCATCAATATATTTGTTGTTTTACTTATTAGAGATCCCCACAAACTAATTTTTGGCCTGAAAAAAGTTCATTATACAAAAATATTGTGGCCGGTGTAATATAGCAAACATATGACGGTGACCCGAATAAAAAAAAAAGGTTGAATATGGCTGATCTTGCCCAAATAGGATGAGTTAATAATTCTGTCTTTGTTTTTCCGAAAAAAATTGCCTTTTATGCATATTGTAGAGTTAATAGTTTATATAAAATTGATACTTATGCCAATGTACGATATATTAGTGAATATAAGTACAAAAAATTGTAATGTAGAAATGGTAGGTACTATAGGCGCACGCTTATTGTATTAAATTAAGGTATAAAGTAGCATAAAAACAACATAGTCCAGGATCCGTAAGTAAGGTCGACCTTCACCCATCTGTTTAATGGATAAAAGTTATTTTTTATTAAATAAAATATGTTTTTCCCCAAATGGGTTGCCTAAGAAAATACGGTCACGGCCATTTTTACTTTCCTCTCTGTGTTCAGATAAGGAAAGTATAGGAATCATGATAAAAGTTGCTTATGATGTCATTCTCTATTATTTTGTCTATACATGATTTTCCTAAAATGGATCTAATTTGAGATATTTGATAAAAAGTGCAAATTTTGAATATAACTCAAAAACAGATGAAGAGAAAAACATCAAATTTTGAACTTAAGCTTTAATCTATCCTGCGATGAGGTGATTAAAGTTTGGGCACAGTCAAAGCATTTGGGGAATACTTTACAGGGTGTCATTTTTTTACTTTAAGAAAATAAATAGTCTGGACCGAATCCACCGTTGTGTATTACATTTTTACATTAACAATGCCATTTTAATCTCTGTTTAACACAACGGTGGAATCGGCCCTAAGGCAACCCATTTGCGGTATATTTAAAAACATATTTTATTTAATAAAAAGAAAGTTTCATCCATTAAACAGATGGGTGAAGGTCGACCTTATTTCGGATCTTAGACTAACATAAGTATGCATTAACTTATTAGAAAATAAAGATTTTCTTTCAAATAAAGAATTTTGAAGCTGGATAAAGAGCAGGTACCTACGTTATTTTTTTGTTGTACCCCAATTGGGTAATTGTATGTTTTTACAAAATCATAAACATTTAAAACAGTGACAACATGTAATTCCTAGAGCTGGTAGAGGACTTTCCAGTGAAGTTGTTGTTTGAGAGTTAACTTTTTAGAAGATGATTGTTTTGAAATATTAATTGATGGTTCTGTTAGTAAAATTAATAGGGGGAAGACCAAAATTAAGGACGAGGCATTCCCTAATATCCCTTCGTATTTTGTCAATATTAAATATAGAAAATCACTGTGCAAAGTAAATGATTTTGTTAAATAAAAAAAAGGAAACTTTAATCTTTTTATGTACCATAGTTTACTACAAAAAATAAATATTTTCAGTTAAACTGTGTTTTATTTTTTCCTTGGCCCTATTTAGATATAATTCAAAAATAATTAACCATACCAAAATTCAACATTTTTCATCATTAATTTGCAGTAAGAAAATTATTTATCAATTAATTGAAATAAGATTCTTGAAATTTTATACATCAGTATTTTGAGTTATATTTGAGCTTTAAACAAGTTTTTTATTTTCACAAAATTAAATAAAATCTCCATAAGTAGTCATGTATTTTATAGATCATGTATGAATCTATGTTGGGAAGTGTTACTGCCAATCCATCAAATTATCGGTGATCCTTTTAATAACTACATTAATTAAAATAAGCTCAATCAAGCGATTCCAATAAACAGAGTTCTTGTGAAGGATGGATAATTATTTGCCATGGTGTTTCTCCTAGGCACTCCCTTGGAGGTAATAAGTTAAACCTGACCCAACACCAATACTTACCCCAAAGAGAACTTCTATTATTTAATTGGAACTTAGTAATTAAAACAAAATGTAATCTCTATACATTTAAATATCTTTTCTAAAGTAAAATAACAATTATTTATTACAAACTCATTCATCTGAATCAAAAGTATAATGTGTTTTTCCATTGTTTGGATATTGCTTAGGTATAACTGAATGGAACATTTTCACATTATCTAATAGACGGTAAATTATGTAAGTACCAAACATAGTACCTAAAAACTGCGCCCACATACCCCACAATGGAACTCGCAATTTAGCGCTCACATCGTATCTATCTTCTCTTATTAAATCATATTCTGCATGTAACTAAAAAAAAATAATTATTTTTAAGTACACTATTTAAAAAGACAGTTCTCAAATATTTTATAGACATGTTTACTTTAGACATTTTAGCCTAAAACAATGGCAATTTTAAAAATAACTTAGATACTGCTAACATTTTGAAATTGTCTATACTTAATTAAAATAGTGCAAATTGAACAAATTTTCTTTAATAATAGTCGTTTTCTTTTTACAGGTGTACTTGACTAACTAAAAGTTAGATTCTGATCTAAGCTAAGTTGTAAAAAACAGGAATTTTGGTTGCCAGGTGACATGGCCCATGTCATCTGTTTAAAAACCATGGACATTTTTATCAAATTTTATAATTTCTTCATCATTCAACACTGCGATCTTACCCCCTGTTATCATAGTCTTTTAATATCTCTAAAATAATGAATTCAGAGGATATGTTTGTTCATATGATGCACAGAACACTCACTTTCTTTTATGGTTGACATCAAGATCCGTGTACCTTAGCATAGGTAAGGGAAGAAAGATTCTGACTTACAATCACAAAAAGAAGGTAAAACTAAGCTTAGTCGATGTAAGTTAGCTCAGATTAGTGGTAAAAAGAAAAGGATTAATATCTGGATCCAGAATAACTGACAAGAGAATGACAACCTTAAAAGTTAAAGAAGTTTTGTGTAAAAAGTACTCACAGGTTCGTTAAAATTTCTTTTCAATTCTGGATTATCCCAGGGATAATAAGGATCTCTAGATTCCATTGATTCCAGAGGTAATTTTGGATAGTCTCCAGAACCCTGACCATCATCAGGATATGGTTGGTACTCTCTAGGATCCAAACCATATTTAGCTGCGGCTTTTAGCCTTTCTTCTTCCGTTTGGGGATAGGGGCCAGGTTTGTAGTCCTTGTTCCAATCTATAAGAAAAAAATTACATAATATATATAACCTTACCTTTTAATGTTATACGAGAATTATGGCTTACGATTTCTGACTGCTGTTACTAATATTGCGTTATTTTTCAACCAAATACTTGGTGGCTTTAAAGCTTTTATTAAAGGATTCATGTTCTAATTCTAATTTTTAAGATAAAAATATTGAACTTGTCAGAATAATTGACAGTTGACACTACTGACCCTACTGACAGTTATCGGAATGTATAATGCGTACAATGTTGCCAAATGAAAAAGTTTAGTCGGTGGAGTGAAGTATGATTTTTTAGACTTGGTTATCTGATTCACCTAGGACTGACTCTTCTAGGGCTCCATTGTGACAGCACTGCAGCCTTCAAGGCTATTCTGCCACCTGTCATACCATTTAGGATCGATTCCACCGTTGTGTTAAACGAAGTTTAAAATTACATTTTTACATTAACAATGTCATTTTAACCTCCATTTAACACAACAGTGGAATCGACCCTTAGGTACATACACTATTCGATCCTATTGCCATACTCGGTAATCCAATATGAATGTGTACATTAAATTTCCTTGAGGTGTACGACACTCGCAATAACACTCTCTTTTTTAAATAAACAACAATTTATTTGGCATTAACTACTCGGAGTTAACTACTAAGGTTATTATCCTTCATCTATATGTAGGCTTTGTTACTTTACTATTTACCAGTGCCACTTTAGAAATGGCCCTCTGAATTGAAACCTAACGGTGGGGAATCCTACCTATATATTAGAATTAATTAGACCGAATTCCACCATTGTGTTAAACGAAGTTTAAAATGACATTTTTACATTAGCAATGTCTTTTTAATCTCCGGTTAACACAACGGTGGAATCGGCCCTTAATTAAATTATTTGGAAATATCGTTTTTCTTTAAAATGTATTAAGGCCTTTAAAGTCGATCCCACTTCTAGATTCGCCACTGAATGTTCTGTGCATTAGAGATATATTGGAACAACAGAACAAACTGCAATCATAAAACTACACTCGCGGCTACAGACAAAAATGCACTCTGGCTCCCGTAATTTTGAGGTTATGTTAGTTATTGTTTATTGTGATTACCGTCAGATTTCAAATTCATTTCATTTCATAATTTTTCGTATTGCCGTTATTAGCTCGGTCAAGTTTAGTGTGTATTATTTAATATAAATATGGGGGGTCCGGACGACTTTAGGGACAGTGGAATTTTAAAGAAATTTATTTTTTATCAGAAAAAGCGTAGGGTGATTGAACCTGTTAGCCGGCCACCACCTGTTCTCGGCCACTTTCAACATTTTTTGTTTAAAATAGTAAAACTATAAAAAAATTATGTGTGTTTAATATAATACCTGCTTTCGGCCACAATTTTCCCGCCTTATTTAAAAATTGTAAGGTTATGTCTTAAAAAATGGAGAGACTACTTCAGTTTGAAGTTGGCTGCCACCAAGACGAGTGCGGCTGTTGTTGTTCCAATTCAAAATCGTTAGTGAACATCCATCCAGGAAATAGTAAGTATTTTTGTTTATAAGCAATATTATTGTATAATTTTGGTTTCTGTGGTATTATTCAAGTAATATTTCAATTTAGTTTAAGTAGAATTCATGAAAAATTATTATTTTTTTTTTTAATTATGTGGCCGGCCAACTAGTCTACGTCCCATATCATTATCCCCTTCTCGGCCTAGGGTGGCCGAGAACCGGTATATGAGTAAAAATCTTTATGTCTCTCTTTCTCTAAATGGAGTAGTAGCTGTTTCTTTTCCTTTTGGGATTGGCAGAGTTGTTGTTAAATCTACATAAAACCCATTCTCGGCCATGGCTTTTGTATAAGAATTTAAGCATAAATTGCATTATAAAATATTGGGTGGCCAAGAAAGGGATAATGTAACTGGTTCTCGGCCACGTACAAATTTACAAGTATTTCCGCGGCCGACTGATAGGCCGGTTAGTTCGGCCATTTCAAGGAACAATAGATTCAGTTTTGATTTTGAAATAATTAAAATAATTAAGAAAATTATTAAATTAAATAATTTAGAATCAAGCTAGCAAGTTTATAAAAATGAGATAAAAAAAATCTTTTAAAATTTTAAAATATATTAATGTGCCTATAAACAATATTAAAGAAAATAAATTTTTTAGATGTCCCAATCAAACAATCCATCAAGTTTTAAGGCCAAGTCTAAAAGAAAACTTTTCGTCTATTCTGAAGCCGCCCTTCAACAGGCTATAAATGAAATTAAAGACAAAAAACTAAGCATTCGCGAGGCTAGTCGTAATTTCGCAGTCCCAAGATCTACAATTCAAGATAGACTTAAAGGAGTAAGTAAGGCAAAACTTATTAGAAAACCGGGACCTCAGCCTATTCTTACTGCAGATGGAGAGGAGAAAATAGCTAATTGGGTACTAAATTTAGCAAAATGTGGCTTTCCCATTACGAAAAATCATTTAATGGAGACAGGACAAAAATTTTGAAACATTTAGACATTCAAAATCTACCAAAACAAGATCGACTCAGTGATAGGTGGTACAAAAATTTTATGAAGAGGCACCCCAATATTTCCATTAGAGAAGCTGAATGCATTAATAAGGCCAGAGCAATCGTAACGGAAGAATCAATCCGGTTATGGTTTAAAGAACTGCAGGAATATTTAGAGAATAATAACTGGTCTGCAGTTCTTAATGACGCCAATAGAGTTTTCAATTGCGATGAGTCCGGGTTTTCTCTCTGCCCTAAGACTGGCAAAGTTTTAGCACCAAGGGGCTGGAAAAATCTATACAGCATAAAAACTGGTAACGAGAAAGAAAATTTAACAGTACTAATTGTATTTAATGCTGAGGGTAACGTATGTCCTCCAATAGTAGTATATCCCTACGTAAGACCGCCAAAATCACTTGTAGAAAATATGCCCGAAACATGGGTTTTAGAAAAAAGCGATACCGGATGGATGAAAGGGGAAGTGTTTTATGAATATTTCGCAAACACTTTTCATAAATGGGTCGTGGACAATAACATAACCAAACCAATCATCATGTTTTTAGATGGGCACCGATCTCATATGTCATTACCGCTTAGCAATTTCTGTGATCAGAACCAAATTATTTTATACGCACTTCCTCCTAACGCCACCCATATCATTCAACCTGCCGATGTTAGTGTCTTCAGACCATTAAAACTCGAATGGAAGAAAACGGTACAAAACTGGCAATCAAAACCTGATAATGTCCATGCCAACATCACCAAAAATAATTTTGCAAAAGTTTTCAAAGAAGCTCTAGATAACGTTAATATGGTGGATTATATAAAAAATGGTTTTAGAAAATGTGGGCTTTTCCCACTTGACTCAAACAATATCGACTATACCAAATGTGTAAAAAACACAATGGAACAAATTTCAACTTTATCCCAAGAAATCTCGATAGGCGAATGTGATAATGCTTTCAAAGTAATTAAACACTTAGAACTAAAACTACACAACAGTGGAATTAACACCGCTGTAATTTTAGAAGAGATAAATACTTTAAAAAATAAATTAAGTTATCCTTCTCTAACTACGGTCAATAGTACTAGCTCCTTTAGATCTGTAACAATTGGTGACGTTGTTCCAATGGATACGTTGGATATCGTATCTTTAGATGAAATAATTGTAGAACATCGAGAACCAGATGATACTAATTTTGACCTAAATTTTTTAGAAAGACAAGCTAACGCTTTAAGAGAAAATGATTTTGAAGTACCCCCATATGAAAGCAGAGAAGATATTTTTGAAACATTGAAACCGTTAGAAACGGATCTTCTAGAGGATGAAAATACTATTGACAACACTAATAATGTCAAAGAACTTAATGATGTGCTAGAAAATTGTGATATTGAAGAAACCCCAAATGAAAAAACTGAAAAAGATGTCCAAGAACCTAATGATGTGCTAGAAAATTGTAATATTGAAGAAACCCCAAATGAAAAAACTGAAAAAGATGTACAAGAACCTAATGATGTGCTAGAAAATTGTGATATTGAAGAAACCCCAAATGAAAAAACTGAAAAAGATGTCCAAGAACCTAATGATGTGCTAGAAAATTGTGATATTGAAGAAACCCCAAATAAAGAGACTGAAAAAGATGTCCAAGAACCTAATGTGCTAGAAAATTGTGATATAGAAGAAACCCCAAATAAAAAGACTGAAAAATATGTTTCGAAAATTTTACAAACGGAACTAGGAATTGAAAAAACAGTTGAAAAAACTGATAATTTAGACGAGAACATTATAATAGAAAAATCGAATCAAGATACCCAAAAACATATAGACAAGTCAACTGAAAACGTAAAAACGGATCTTCTGGAAAAAGCCGTAGAAGCAGTTTTTACAGAAACGACTCGAGAGGAGATGGCCTCTACTTCAAATATTTTAAAAGATCAAACTAATTCTTCTAAAATCACACAAATTAATCCTTTCGACGCCCATTTATTTTATCCAGCCCCTCTAAATAAAGCCAAACAAGTAAACAAAAAAGATAAGCTCCCTAGTGCTATAAGTTCTAAGTCTTGGCGAGAATATTATGAGAAAAAGGATCAGGAAAAACAGGAAAAATTGGATCAAGCAAAATTAAAGAGGGAGCAAAGAGAATTGCTCAGAGTACAAAAAGAGGCTGGAAAAATAAAAGGAAAACAAAAAAAATCATTAAAAGTAAAGAAAAACATCAAAGAAAAGAAAAAAATACCATGTGCTTCTTGTACTGAAGAGCTAAAGAGTGACACTGATGACGACGATAATAAAAATATAGGTTGCGATTTTTGTCCCGGATGGTTCCATTTAAAATGTACCCCATTTTATGGGCAACTCACCTATTTCGAGGCTGCGCAGGAAAATTATAAATGCGACAGTTGTTTGTAAATTTTTGTCATATTTTTTACAAGTATTCTACATCTCAGAATTGTTATTTTTATTTTATATATTTTTATACTCTAGATCTTAGAATTTTTATTCGTTTTTAAAGAATGTAGGTACCTAGGTACCCTTTGTTTATTTTGTACCTGATGAATTATTTGTTGTTTTTTATATACAGTTACTGTAAGTATATACCTACCTGTTTCATTGTATATTTTCTTTTAATAAAAAATATGTGTTGATTTTTTCCTTAAAATCATTACACTGCCGAGAAGCAGGTGTTTTCGGCCACCCGGCCGAGAACCAGGCCCATTCTGTCCGGTAATAGGTAGTCTGCGGCCGAGAACAGGTAAATTGTACATTGTCGAGTATTTTCTTAAATATTTATTAAACAGTGATATACATCGATAAAAAAACTAAAGTTCCAGCTAAAGTAAGGTCTACAGAAATACCGACTTTTTTTTATGAAGAAAATATTGAAAGTTTCTTTTTAATCTTAGAAAATTGTCCCAAAATGGTACTAACTGGCCGAGAACCGGTTCAGTCACCCTATTTTAAATAGTACATTAAAAAAAAATTGTGGTAAATGCATTATTTAGGCCAAAAAAAATTATTTAATTTCTATAAAAACTTGATGGTTTCTGTCAAATTTGGAAAATATAATTGCAACGTTGCCGGATTGT